ATCCTCATGAAACTAAAAGGCTGGTGGGAAAGACTATTACTATATTACTCCCAGTAATCTCTAGAAAAGAAAGTACAATTTTTTTTTAAGACCTTGTAATGGGAACTAAATCGGTGATTCTAAACCAAGGTCTATTTTGTTCCCCACAGGACATCTGATAGTCTGAAGACATTTCTGGTTGTCACAATAGTGGCACCTTGTGGGTACAGGCCAGGATTACTGCTAAACATCATATAATGCACAGGACAGGTCCTCACAGCAAACAATTATCCAGACCCAAAATATCAATAGTACTGAGGTTGAGAAATTCTCACCTTAATCACTGGCACAGGGAGGGGTTAGTGAAGGGTTCCTTCCTTTACAACACTAAGTATGCTTTATCTTTAAGGGAGTTTCACAAGGTAGAAACAAAAAAAGATAGTTTGATGGATACAATTAACCAAAACACCCACTAGAAAGTTAAAACAGGAAAGACTAAGGAAAGGAAAAGGAGACAGATTCCCTGATAGGTGAAAATGAAACAAACAAACAAAAAAATGCAGTGTTTTATAGCTGCTTCACATAAAATCCCTTTCTTGAACCAGAAACAAAAGGAAAACATACAAATAAAAAACAAATTTCACAGACTTTTATTATGCCCTCTACCTTTTCTACTGTTCACCATCCCATGTCTACTACAAGATACTTTCAGGAAGATTATAAAAAGCCCTGTAGTTAGACAAATACACACTCTGGAAATAAAAGTGGAGATGGAGTAAAGAAGAGATGGGATTTCACTTTTGACGTGAGGCAAGACATGGGAGGAAAATGTCCTGGGTGTTAAAGGGACTTTGGGAAGTCCGCATCCTGGAACAGTTTAAAGACTAAGCTATCTGACTAACTGAGAAGTCCTAAGGACAACCCTCCCCCGCTCCAAAAAAAAAACCACACACTAAGAATTTAGGCATCCTAAAGATGATAAAAGGTACTAGAATCATCTCAGAACTTATGAACCAAGGTAAATCCAAAATTTAAATTGTGATAGTCTTCCTGACACATCTCACACCTACATATCTGATCCTTTAGCTACCCACTCTGCCTTTTCTGAGCAGCGAGAGAAATGGATCATGATGGGGAAAAAAAAACATAGTAATGCAACAAGCTATACAAAGAACTTGGGTGGAGGAGGGGAGAAACTTGACCACTAATATTTGATTATCTGAAAGTGTTAATTTGTTGAGGTATAGTAATGGTACTGACACTATTTTTTACAGTACTTAAAAATTAAAAGAATCCAATATACATGTAAAATTCATCTCCTCCAGTTACTTTGCCTAAGCATAACCAATGCATAAGTCTTCTATTCGCCATGTATTAAGAGTTCATATACTATCAAAGTGCCCCCTCCAATTAAATTATAATTTTCTAAGGAAAGAGTCATGCATTGCTATTCTTTTCCCTCTTTTCAAAAACAACAACAACACCCTTACCATAATGACCACCATACAGTGGCATTCTTAAGGACAGAGCACAGATATGCAGCTCACATAATACTGCTGCATTCAGCTGGGGTCCTAAAAACATAATTTAAGCAGACCAATATGAGACCCCTTTCACTGAAGTGAGAACATAACAAGGATATGCCACCATCTTAAAGCAGCAACAACTATGGCACTTGTAATGATAATAATTATTTTTAGAGTTAAATGCTCAGGTCAAGCATAGACTCTTAGGGAATCTTATATTCCAATTTGGACAAATCTTCTTTCATCATTTCAGAACTGACATTATTACTCATGGGATTAACTCATCACAATGATGATGCTTAACTGTAAAGTATGGCTTTCTAGCACAGTGGGCACTTAAATATCAATTCTCAGACCTCAATCTCATTGAGTTCTCAGACCTCAATCTCATTGAACTCATGGTAAGAGGAATTTATCACATAAAGGATCTTCTGACAATGACTTTGAACACAGGGAAGGAAAAGCCACAGTCATCTTTGAGATTATGACAGGTGGGAGTGGGACAGCTGCATATGTTGACCATGACTCATAAATATCTTACATAAGGTCATAGATTTTCAGACTGAAACTCATCTGTGCTTTGCAAATTAAAAATCTATATTCTTAACTTAAGGTGCTTGGCTGGCTCAGTTGGTAGAGCATGCAACTCCCAATCCATTGGGTTGTTAGGATAATTTTAAAATAAAATCTTAAAAAATAACAACTATATCCTTAACACTAATATCTCTGGCATGTTCCTATTTTCAAACCAATACTAGAAGGTCTTTAAAACCTGAGAATTAGCAAGCCATAAAACCTAAGCATTTCATATTTTAAACAGGCCTTTAAAAGCCAAATTCACTCTAAGTAAACATTCTAATTGTTCCTAATATTATAACTCAAAATTCCTTTATTTTTGCACTTTGCAATACATGATTTAATGGAAAATATTCATTACTGAATTATTCCCTATTATATGCTTACTTGCAACAACATTTGTATATCAGTAAGCATTTTCACAGAAACTATATTCAAAATCAGGAAAAAATTATGTATTTTATGTTTAAAACAAAAAGTATATTCTTCTGAATCTTCTTTGAATATAATACCTTTCCCCAACTCTGTGACTATATTGCTACTATTATTAAGCTAATTCCACATTCAAACGTGATGAAGTTTGAGCATGTTAATAAATAAAGGAGTTAAAAGATTTTCTAAGTTCTCTGAAATCCACAGGGAGAAAGAAGAGAGCACTACATACACTAAAATGGGACTGCTACTGTCAATCTCAAATTCCTGTAAAGGTTAGATGTGAAAAGAGGTGAAATATCTAGTTAGCCATGTAGATGTTACGCCCCCCCCTATTCTTAATGGAAATACTAAAAGGAAAACCAATATATCATTTCTACACCACTGTGCTCTATTGTGACAACCACAGTGTAGTAACACCTTTTTCCTATCCACCACATGGGAGATCCTATTCAGAATTTCATGGCGGGAATTGGGGGGGGATGTGCTGGGATTGAGGGAGGATACATATTAGGAACCGCCTAGACAAACAGGAGAGACAATTAAAAGGTGTGGGGTGGGGCACCTGGGTGGCTCAGTGGTTTAGAGCCTCTGCCTTCGGCTCAGGTCATGATCCCAGGGTTCTGGCTGGGATGGAGCCCATGCCAGGCTCTCTGCTCAGCGGGAAGCCTGCATCCTTCTCTCTCTCTCTCTGCCTGCCTCTCTGCCTACTTGTGATCTCTGTCCAATAAATAAGCAAAAATCTAAAAAAAAAAAAAAAAAAAAAAGTGTGGGGTAGGAGCACCTGGCTATCTCATTAGGAAGAGCAACTGATCTCCAGGTAATGAGTTCCAGGCCCACGGTGGGTACAGAGATTACTAAAAAAATAAATAAATTTTAAAAAAACAGGGGGTGGGGGGGTGTAAAATCAAAGAACTACAATGGAAATAAGAGAATTTTTTTATATAAAATTTTTAAAAGTTTAACATTCTATAATGCTGTACCACTACATGTAGTAAATAAAAGGCTACACAGAGCTGTTTTCTTTCCTGCAGTTACAAAACTATTAACAATAAACTGGAACATACAGTACTGTTAAAAACATTTTCTTCTAGAATTTAAGCACCATCAAGTATTGCTGGGAGAACCAAACTTTCTAATCATCAGCTACAAATTCATAAATAAAATGAAAAAAAGATTCCCAAGTCTATTGCACTATATATCAAGAAGGGATTAAAAAAGAGAAAGAAAATCCAATACCAGAAAAGAAAACCCTTTACAAAGTGTTTGCTTTCATGTAACTGTGTCACTACTATGTATTCTAATATGGAGAGTCCAACTCATATGAATGTTATCTTTTAGCCCTCTGCTAAGCTTCCCAAATGCCAATTCTTTAAAAAAAGGAAAGAAGAAATAAAAGAAACAAAATTGTGAAACAGCTTCTAAAAGTATGGTCCTGTTCGGAACATCACAGCAGTATGTCTGGTATTTTAAGAGGTGAGTATTTAAGATTTTGTTAATCATACTATCGAATACAGTAAGAGCACTTCACACCAAAAGTTCATAAAATTGCGACTTTAGTTAATATCACATTAATAACTTTTTTTCCAAGGCATACACATAAAGATAATTCTGGTTGTGTAGACAGGTACTTGTTATGTTTAATGTCTGCACTACGGTCTACTTAAGTCAGAGTTTTAAAAAAATTAACATACTTTATCAAAACCTGTCTCCTTTCAGACTAGTATTCAATTAAGTGGTGAAAACTGGACACCTGCTTCTTTTCTAGTGTTAGATTCTACGTATGAATGAGCCCGTGGGAAATGCTTCCCCAGCATCTTCCCCACTCGAAGCACAGACCCCTTTCCCTACCATTTGTGTCTTTATGTCCTGACGATGAGAGAAGGGTGAAGTAAGGTATAATAAACCGCAGAAAAACCCTGCCTCCCACTCAGCCATTCTCTTAGCATTAGGTCCCTAGCTGGCACGTTACCTAGCCAACAGTGTCTCAAATACAAACAGTACGTACAACGTGACCACAGATCATCACCCCTGTAGGTTGCCTTCCTTTCTACCCCTATGGGTCCCTGACTCATTAAGGACCAAGGAGAGGTCTGTGCAGTGATGTCCGGTGAGCAGTTAAAATCCCGCAGGCCCAGGAAAGAGGTGGGCGGGCCAGGCCTCGGCGGAACTGACCCCCAGAGACCTGCCAGAAGCCTCCGGGGGAGGGCCCAAAGGGGCCTTCCCTCCAAACCCTCAGCCACTCAACAGGGCGCTGGAGACACCGGAACCTCCCTCCGCCCCGGGGCGGCCCTCCCCCAGTCCTCCCGTCGGACCCGGGGGAGGGGCGCGGGGCAGAGAAACACCCCTCCCCCTCCCCCCGACACAGCTAGGCCGCCTCTCGCCCCACCCTGGGAAACCTTGCAGGCCCGCACCCACCCTGCTCGCGCGGGCCTCAGTCCGGGTGGGAGACGTGGGTAGGAGGGGAGGCTAGACTGCAATACCAACCTCGCTATTGAAGGTTTTCACAGCCTCCATGTTGTCGGTGCGGAGGCCCCGAGCCCGGCGGCGGAAGAGGCGGCGGCCACTGCACTGGGTGGGGAGAGCGAGACGGGGGCGGCGGCACGGCCGCGAGGAGGGGCGCCGGCGGGAGACCCGGCCGCTGCGACCCGGGACGGGAGTGGAAGGGCAAGCACTGGCGGGGAAGGACTCCCTCAGGGGCAGCAAGGCCCCGGCATGGCCGCTAGGGCGGGCGGAGCGCCGGTCTGGGGAACACAGGCGCTGCCGGGGCGGGTCGGCAGCGGGCGGGGGAGGGGCTGGGCCGCGGCGCCTTCTCTTCTCCGCCCCGCTCGGTCTCGGTCCTCCGCCCTTTAGCCCCGTCCCCTACACTCTCCACCCCCTCCTTCTTCTTCCTTTGTCAGACTCCTGTTTCACCTCCCCGCCGCTCGGGCCGCAGGAACCAGCAGCGCACAGCGAAGACGGAGGAGGAAGCGCTGGCAGCAGCGGCTGCGGCATCCAATATGGCGGACGCCAGTCGGGCCGCGCAGCTCGGAGATCCGCGGCGCCGGCCAGCGCGCCCCCTGGTGACTGGACCGCGCGGGCCCGCGCGGAAACCATCGAGCGAGCGCGGGCCAGAGCGTCGCCGCCCGGAGGTCCCACTCGGCTCGGCCCGGGGCAGCCCGCGCCTCGCCCCCTCCCCGCGCCTTGCAGACGCGGGAGCGAGCGCTGCGGCCGCGTGGATCGCTGCGGCCCGCCCTTGAAAGCCCCTCCAAAGCGTTACTCTGAGGAATGCCTAAGTGTCCCCGTAACGCGACAAGTTTGGGAAATAATGCCCACGTTTCCGTTGTTTCCAAGTAGATTGTTCCCTTTACGTGAGCTGTTGCGTTCAGTTGCCTTTCAGAACTTTGCTGGACAGTGGCCTAAAGGTTAACAGCCGAAAGAAAAGTTCCTAGTCATTCATCTATTTAGGAACGATGTGTCCATGCATGTTAATAGCGTCTGGAGGAGATGTGAGAAACAAAAGCTTCGGATCCGGGTGGGGGCAGGGGGACGAGGAAGCACGCACACAGCCAGCCAGCAGCTCAGAGCAGGAAATGCACGCTGCATAAAATCCGGGGGGACTGGTGCGCAGACAATGAGTGCATTTGTCTGTGCGGCGGGAATCGAGTCCCAGGCGCACAAGATTTGGATAGGTGAAAGGGAACTCATGTTTAATGGAAGACGAATTATTCTAGAGGAATTTTGCCCTGGGTTGTTTAGAGTTAAGACGGTGAATACAGTATTCCTAGATGAAATAAGAGATGCTGCTCGCAAAATGCCTTCTCACTTCGTGCCATGTAAAATAACCAATAACCAAATTAAAAGCAAACGTTAATTGAAATTAAAAGTTAGGGTGTACCACTGAACGCAAAGGCCGCTGTCCTTTTGCTGAGAGTCTGTCTTTCAGCGGTTCACTCAAAGGGAAGGGAGGAAAATGGCAGAATTTTATGCTGGGGGATTGTTGGACCCAAGGTACTTTGGTAAAAACTGAGCCCGAGCCTATGACACTGAGAAAGGCAGGCCCTTCTTGACTTCTTAGGGTCCAGTCTACTTCATTAACAACTTTAATATAAGGGCTGACTTAAAAAGGATAACTTCTTCATCAATAAGAGTTTATATTTCCACCTTCAAAATCTCAAATGTGATCACTAAGTTCGCCTTCACCATTGGCCTCCAATCCTCATAGGCCAACAACTGCTATAGCCTCCTCACCATCTTCCTGCTTGTCTTCCTATAATTCATTCTCCAGACTAGACAGAGGGACTCTTTTTTTTTTAAAGTCACAAGTCAGATGATCTAAATCCCTTTAGGATTTTCCCATTGCTCAGATAATGTCATAACCTCTTACTAGGGCCTGAAGGCCCTGAGTACCATGACTCACGGTACTCTGCTCTACTCTTTTCCTTCCTGTCACACTGGCCTCCTTTCTGTTGGCATCACAAAGGATTTTCCCACTTAGAACACTTGTATGTGCCCCTTCCCTCTGGGATGCTGATGCTTGTGTTCTTTTCTTGGCCGACTCTTCATCCTGTCCTCCTCCCACAAGAGGTCTCCTCCAATCAGTCCATCTAAAGGAGCATGCCGTTACTTGCATACGCACCCCACTCAGTACGATTCTTGCCAGATTCTAAAGCTCAACATTCACTGCTTTGGCCTGTCAGGGATTATTTATTCAGTCATTCATTAATGAATGTTGACTGAATCATTTAGGCCTGAGAGAGTAAAATGCAATACAAGCTGAAGAATCGGTTGTTAATATGTTACATGACTTGATTTTATAAAACTTCCACACCCAGAAAGATAGCAGATGGCACTCTTTGATCAAGGGAAGGAAAAGAGAGGGAGAAAAAAGAGAGAGAGAGAGAGACAAAGAGGACAGCCGAAGCTCTCAAGATGAGAAGGCAATAAAGCAAGAGGAAAAGTAGAGATAGATCAGAGGGGCTGCAAGGAGTCTGGAGGCCCAGTACAATGACTAAGTACGAAGTTTATGAACAACCACGCATACCACAATGTGAAAATGTCAATACCTGTATCTATAATATATGTATGTATGTATGTATATTAGTTAGAATTCCAATTCCCAATATACCAAACCAATTCAAGCTAGCTTATGCATACAAGAATTCACTATTAGGATACGGGTAGGTTCTATTCGATTCCAAAGTCAAGAATGCCAATGGGCCTAAGAAACCAAAGTATAGAAAGCCTGAAAGGCAGACTAATCTCTGCTTACCTGTTTTAGTTTTCTTTCTGTTGCTTTATCCAACTCTGTTTTGCTAGTGAGATTAACTTGTGCTCTGGTTTTTTAATCCTAGATACCTAGAGGACTTGACTGAAAACTTCACCTTCCTGCTTCCAAATTCCTAAGGGAAGGAGAAGGAATTTGACTGACCCAGCTTGAATTAGGTGACCATCACCAAAACACCCTGAAGAACACTAATTCATATTTTGAGGAAGAATTATACGGGAAATAGCATGCAGAAGTATTCCTGTCCCTGGAAGAGATATGCCCAATTATAAATTATGAAACTCATATTTTAGAGCTTATGACATTCTCTTCTGAATGTGGTTATCATTGGCCTGTCCTCTAGGACTAAATCAGTTCTGGAAATAACTCATAAGCTCTAATTCAGCCACAGCCTAAAGGTCAGAATCAAAAACAGAGTCTGGAGCAGCACTCACCATAGAACCTTCTGGGATCATGGAAATGTCCTGGTAGCACAGATACAATTCAGTCGCACTAGCTTTGTGTGGTTATTGTGTTCTCAAAATATGGCTAGTGCAACAGAGGGAATGAATTTTTTATTTTTATTTCACTCTCGTTGACTCAAGTTTGAATATGTGCTAGTGACAACCCAATTGGAAAGCAGAAGTCTAGCTAGAGAGGACTTATTCCTGTGGATAGGTCACTTCTTAGATATTGGGAAGTAATTGTAAGGTGATACTAACCAAAAATCAAGTTGATTATTAGCCAGCAAAAGTAACAATGTATGTAAATGACTTTCTTTAAACTGGGGCAAAAACCTGCAGCATTGTCTAACCTCAAACTAAGTCTCATCCAGCGGAGAAAAAAAAAAAAAAGAAAACTTGAGCATCTTTAGGGAACATTCTAGAATGGTTGAGGAAATTAGGGCAAAGACACAAATGGAATATTATACAGCCAATAAAATTATTAGGCTGTGGGAAATGGTATAGTGGTTTCTCAAAAATTAAACGCGGAATTACCATATGATCTAGCAATTCTACTTCAGGGTATACGTCCAAAAGAACTGAAAGAAAGGACTTGAGCAGATATTTGTACACCCATGTTCATAGCAGCACCATTCACAATAACTAAAATGTGGCAATTACCCAAATATCCATTGACTGATGAATGGATAAACAAAATGTGGTGTATTCACATATAATGGAATATTATTCATCTTTAAAATGGGAGGAAATTGACACATACCACAACATGCATGAACCTTGAGGACATTATGCTAAGTGAAATAAACCAGACACAAAAAGACAAATACATGACTCCATTCCATAAGATACCTAGAATAGTTGGATTCACGGAGACAGCGAGCAGACGGCAGTTGCCAGGAGAAGGTAGGAATGGGGGGAGTTAATGTCTAATGAGTATAGAGTTCATTTGGGAAAGATGAAAACATCTGGAGATGAATGGTGATGGTAGTTTCACAACAGTGTGAATGTTCTTAATGCCACAGAAATGTACATTTAAAAATAGATTGGTAAATTTTATGTCAGGTATATGTAATCACAATAATTTTTTTAATGGTTAGAATAAGACTAGAAATATGGGAAATGCATTTGAGAGACTATTAAGTACACAGGAGTAAGATAAACTGTTAATATATTTTAGCTCTTAAAGTATATATGCAAAAAGTGAAAAATTGTATTAGAAAAACATATTAGTACAACAGGGTTGTGAGGGTTTTTTTTTTTTTTTTAAGATTTTACTTTTAAGTAATCTCTACACCCAACATTAGGCTTGAATTCAACAACCCTGAGATCAAGAGTCACATGCTCTACCAGGTTATCTAGGCAGGCATCCCTGTGGATTGTTTTTAGTAAGAATTTTGCTTCTTTTCAGTAAGTCAGTATTTTTAAATATTTTTTATTTTTTTAAGATTTATTGCAGGGTATCTGGGTGGTTCAGTGGGTTAAGCCTCTGCCTTTGGCTCAGGTCATGATCCCAGGGTCCTAGGATCGAGCCCCACATCGGGCTCTCTGCTTAGCAGGGAGCCTGCTTCCTTCTCTCTCTCTCTCTCTCTCTCTCTGTGATCTCTGTCTCTCAAATAAATAAATTTTTTAAAAAAGATTTATTTCGAGTCCCTTCTTTCATAGTATTATTTATTATATGTCCATACATATGGAAGGGGAGGGGTAGAGGGACAGGGAGAAAGAATCTTAAGCAGACCCCACACAGAACAGGAAGCCCCATGCAGGAAGGACGCCATGACCCCAAGATCATGAGCTGAGCCAAAATCAAGAGTCAGACATCCAACAGACTGTGCCACCCAGGTGCCCATCTCACTTCTTTAAATGGGCACACTATAATTCACTAAACTTGATACTGAACCCAAGTATTATTCCCTGAGGGAATCATTAGATACTGAAGATACAATTAAAAACATTTTGCTTTTACTAGCTTAAATTAAGTAAGAATTTTGAATTTGGTAGGTGCATTCTATTTTCTGTTAAAGAAGTATTTCTTTAAATGGCTAAAGGTAAAACAGAAGACATCGTCATTAGTAGTAGTAAAAATAAATAGTAGTGCTGGGAGTCAAAGATCAAGAAAAATTTCTAAATGTCTAGGCTCCATAATCAAAATACTGATTTAAGCTCAGCATTTGCACCCCCCAACCCCATAATGAATAAGCCAGCAGATTCATGTCTTCCCCTTCACAATGAATCTTTCCTTACTTCTAACACACACACTCCTGATCCAAATTATTTGCCCAGCCTACAGATACAACCTTCACTTGTTCCCCCAGACTTTCCAAATGAACACTGCTACAAGTTGCCTATGAGAAGGGGCTCTTTTGCCTTCCTTAAAGTTTTATTTCACTGCTTTGAAATGATAGAGTTTGTGCTGACTACACAAATTTCTGTTCATTTCAGATCACTGAGGAAATCACCAAATTATTTTGCTGTTATAGAGTGAGAGAAGGCTCAGGTTGTGATAAAAGAGGTTAAATTGCCCAAAAGGCATATTCTTATATCTCTAGACTTTGTGTAACTTTCTGCTACAAACACCTGTTATAAGAGGGCACAATGATGACTGGCCTCATAATAAATTGTGATCACTGTGTTCCTCATATGTTAGCAGATTAGTAAGTTAATAGGTCCAGAGTAGTTCCATACCTCGTAGACAAATTAAAAATAATCAAATGGGGGCCTGGCTGGCTCAGTCAAAGACCATGCAACTCTTGATCTCAGGGTTGTGAATTCAAGCCCCACACTGGGCACAGAGCTTATTTAAAAAAACAAAAATAAATAAAAATAACCAAACATACTGGAGTCTGATATATACCCCCTGAATGCAAGTCTGTTAATTTACTATATCGCTTTTAAGTGACTGAAATTCCCCTGTCTACTATTCAAGACAAAGTTTTTTGTATCAAGATAACTGGGAAACTAATAATCTGAAGGTTGTTTTGAATTATTTTTTTTTAATTTTATTTATTTATTTGTCAGAGAGAGAGAGGGAGAGAGCGAGCATAGGCAGACAGAATGGCAGGCAGAGGCAGAGGGAGAAGCAGGTTCCCTGACGAGCAAGGAGCCCGATGTGGGACTCGATCCCAGGACGCTGGGATCATGACCTGAGCCGAAGGCAGCTGCTTAACCAACTGAGCCACCCAGGCGTCCCGTTGTTTTGAATTATTAAATGGTAAAAAGGAACTTTAGTTAGTAGAACTTTTATATCCCTCCCAACAATATATACCCAAGCTTTAGTGTTCCTTTTCCCTAGACAATACTGAATAGTACAGTATCTCTTTTGTTTTTAGGCTGACATCTCTTGGCTGAATTTAATACCTATACTAAGACTAGCTGAATCATGATCTTCTGAAGACCTATCTTTATCCATTATGTCTTAATTTGTATGGATTTAATCTAAATGTGAAAGTTCTCAAGGTAGTTTGTTGTTGTTGTTGTTGTTGTTGTTGTTTTGTTTTGTTTTGTTTTGTTTTTAACCAGCTTTGAGTAATGCTATGGGGTAAATTGTGTCTCCCAAAATGTATAAGTGGAAGTCCAAACGCTAAAGTACTTCAGAATGTGACTGCATTTGGAGATTAGAGTATTTCCCTCTGCCAGCTTCACTGAGGCACAATTGACAAAGAAAAGTTGTATATATTTAAGCAATAAAATGTGATTTTAGATATATGTATACATTGTGAAATGATTACCACAATCAAGCTAAGGAAAATATTCATTATCTCACATAGTTACCACTTTTGTGTGTGTGTGGCAAAAACACTTGAGATTAACTCCCTTAGCAAATTTCTTTCTTTTTTTTTAAGTTTGTTTGTTTAAGTAATCTCTACACCCAACATTGGACTCGAACTCATAACCCTGAGACTGAGAATCACATGCTCTTCTGACCGAGCCCACCAGGCAACCCTCTTAGCAAATTTCAAGTATACTTTATAGTATTGTTAACTGTACTCATCATGCTGTACTTAGACCTCTAGAACTTATTCCTCTCATAACTGAAAGTTTATACCCTTTGATTAATACCTATACCCCCTTGCTCCCCAGTTTCTGGAAAACACCATGCTCTCTGTACTATGAGGTCAACTATCTTTTATTTATTTATTTATAAAGTTTGATTTATATAAGTAATCTCTACACCCCAATGGGGCTTGAGCTCATGACCCCAAGATCAAGAGTTGCACACTCCTTCAACTGAGCCAGTCAGGTGTCTCTGCTATGAGTTCAACTTTCTTTTAGCTTCCACATGTAAGTGAGATCATGCCATATCTATCTTTCTGTGTCTGGCTCATTTCACTTAGCATAATGTCCTCTAGATTCATCCATGTTGTTAAAAAGGCAAGATTTCCTTCTTTCTCCTGGCTAAATAAAATTTCATTATGATAAATCATATATATATATATAAAATCTTATTCATCCATTTTGGCAACACTTAGGTTGTTTCCCTATCTTGGCTCCTGTGACTAATGCTGTAAAGAACATAGCAGTAAAGATATTTCTTCTGGACGGTGATCTTATTTCCTTTGGACATATACCCAGAAGTGAAATTCCTAGATCATATGGTAATTCTTTCTTAGTTTTTTTGAGGAAGCTCCATACTGTCTTCCATAGTGGCTGCACCAACAGAGCACGAGGCTTCCTTCTTCTTCACATCCTCACCAACACTTCTTATTTGTTGTCTTTTTGATTGTAGCCAATCTGACCAGGGTGAGGGGCTATCTCACTGTGGTTTTGATTCGCATTTCCTGGATGATTAATGATATTGTACTTCTTCTCATGTGTTTGTTGGCCAGCTATATGTCTTCTTTGGAAAAATGCCTATTCAAGTCCTCTGCCCATTTTTAAATTATTTTTTTTTAAATTAAGTTGTATAAATTCCTTACATATTTTCAATATTAACCTTTTATCAAATGATTCGCAAGTATCTTCTTCCATTCAGTGGGTTGCCTTTTTGTTTTGTTGATGGTTTCCTTTGCTGTGCAAAAGCTTTTTATAGTTTAATGTAATCTCACTTGTTTATTTTAGCTTTTGTTGCCCTTGCTTGAGGACACTGGCGCAAAAAAAATATTGTTAAGACCAATGTCTATGTTTTCTTCTAGGAATTTGACAGTTTCAGGTCTTACATTCAAGTTTTTAATCCATTTTGAATTTAAATGGATTAAAATGTAAACTTAACTGTGGGGTCAGGGAGGGCTTCCTGGAGGCAGGACACATGGGTGCATAGCTTAGGAACTCCAGCCTTAGTCCCTTTGCCTTAAATTCCTTCAGCAGTTGACACTTTAAAACGATGAATTTCAGTCGAATGGCAGACCAGATTCCCTAAACATGTTTGTTGCATAACAGCTACTAATGATGGTTAAAATACTTAAATTTTCTTTGCAACTGCATTGCTGAGATGATATAA